CAGTTACCTCATTGTTTGGACTTCCTGTCCAGATTACTTTTTTTCCTTTGAATCTGACCACACTAATTTGACTGTGACTGCAGGAAGCCTTTTAAATGGGACACTGTACTCAGACTTGGGTTTTAAAGTCTTCACCAGAGTCATGGCACCCAAAAAGGCTAAATTCAAATGTTTGCAGATTTAAATTTGAAAAAAACAAACAAACAAACAAACTTGTATTACATTGATTTGTACAAAAGTAAAAAAAAAAAAAAAAAGCAAAACAGAATGATGTATGCTTAAATAACAACCATGCAATTTACCTGATAGTATATCATTTACAAGATCAACTGTAAAACAAAACAATCTTTAGAAATTAGATTTTTTTTTTTATTTGCCAGGAACAACGTTTTCACACCACAAAGAGGTTCCAGACCAAATGGGAAGAAGGTCTTGATAGTAATTACTGATGGACAATCTACTGACCGGTATGATCTACGAGATGCAACAAAGCGAGCAGAGAGTAAAAACATTGTTCGATTTGCTATTGGGGTAAGTACTTTCATTACTAAACTTGCAGAATGTTGTGTTTTATACTAGTACTTGGTTTTGTTCACTTGTCACACTACACTCCCATTATAATGCACTATAGGGAGACAGGTCCTGAGCAACTCATTCACTACAGCTTCAGAAGCTGCTTGGCCATAGAGACCCAGTCTATGAAGCTCACAATCTTTGTGCTGCATTAATGCCACAGGAGGTTAAAAGTGTTTTCAACTTTTACACTGAGTTGACATGGCTCTAAAGCAGGGGTCCCCAATCCCAGTCCACGTGGGCCGGTGTCCCTGCAGGTTTTAGATCTCACCCTGGTTCAACACACCTGAATCACATGATTAGTTCATTACTAGGCCTCTGGAGAACTGAAGACATGTTGAGAAGGTAATTTATCCATTTAAATCAGCTGTGATGGATCAAGGACACATCTAAAACCTGCAGGGACACCGGCCCTCGTGGACTGGGATTGGGGACCCCTGCTCTAAAGGCTTCCACTTTGAAATAATACCATTTATAGTCAATCGTGGAATATACAGGAGGGATTAAATTTCACAAACTGACTTGTTGCAGCAGTGCGATCATATTACAGTATCACACTCATATTAGCTAAGGTCTTTAAAATGACTAATTCTTTATCAAATATTTGTTAAGGCTAAGTAATGGCTTAGTGATGTGTGTAAATTTTACTGTAAATCAGGTGAAGTATAAGGACTGTATTTTACTAAAGTGAGCAAATAATCTTGCTTAATATGAGGTCTCAAACATATCTGTAAAATCATAGGTGGGCAGCGCATTTAGGCTCCCTGATGCAAGAAAAGAACTGCGCACCATTGCATCCACTCCCTCATATGTGTTTGAAGTGGAGAACTTCGACGCACTTGAAGTAATAAGACAGAATCTGCAGGACAAAATTTTCTCCATCGAAGGTATGAACATGAATTTATTGTTTCAACTTAAAATTCCTGTAAATGTTTCAAAAATTCAAATAATTACATTATGTTAAATATTATTTTACTGCCTACCTATTCATAAGAGTTTTTTCACATCAGATGTCATTCCTAACATGATGATAATCTGTGTGTTTTACTGGAATTGAAGCAGTGAACTTTCATTTGTTGTGTAAACTGCTACACTATGAAGCAACTAAAATCACCACATTGTATGAACTTTATTATATTGTATTCATTAGATTCACATTTTAAATTGAACATCCTGTAACTTTACATTAGAGAAATGAACAACTGTAAAACAACTGTTTTACTGTTATAATAAACAGTAAAAAATCATTTGAAATTATTTGTTATATTAATGAATGTAATAATAATGCTAAATTTGATGCTAAGCATGCTATTACTATAACGTTTTGAAAGGAAGAATCCATTTTCAGATACTTTTATAATAAACAAATTATTTGAAAATTGTACTTAGCATAATGAAGCATAGTGAGAGAATGAACCTGTATG